CGCGCGGCCGGGGGCGGCTGGGCCCGGTGCCGGAGGAGGTCGGGTGTTGGGGTGCTCGGCTCTGGTCTCCAACGTCTGACCGCCTTCGCGGCAGTGTGCACGGGGAACCAGCTGGGCACTCTGGTGGCAGCGGCGCCGGAGGGACCGCGGCAGCTCCGTTCCTGCCCAGCCCAGTGCCGCCTGCCCCTGCTGCCAGCGGTTTCAAAAGGAGGCGCTGGGGCCCCAGGTTGGGTGTTGTGTTTTGTTATTCGGCCACGGTCTCTGTTACGCACTAATTTCCTTTAGGACTTGCGATGAAGTCAGTAAACCACAGCTGCCGCGGCTGCTCTCCGCGCTGGTGCTTTCCGCTGCGGCATGCACTTGACATGTCCGTTCCCAGGTTCGGCAGCCCAGTCGCGCTCCGTCTCCGGCAACATGGACCAAAGGGAGATTCTGCTGCAAAACCTGGAAAGGGCCCAAGGCAAGAAGCTCAACCGAGAAGAGTTTGTGGACGAGTTTTTGGTAAGTTCGCTTAAGGCACGGCTCTGTGTTTCGGTTGATTTTAAAGGGACTCGCTCAGTCACTTCTCAAACAAGGATGTGATTTGCATGTGACAATGAGATTTTCTATGAATTTTACAGCAGAAAGAGACACAGGATTTCACTGGAGTGAAAGGAATGCAAAGACAGAAGAGCAATTTAATTGTTTGCATTCAAAGTAAAACTGTTCACATTTTAAATAATTACCCGAGTGCTTCCTGTTTTCTGCTTTGAGGATGCACTTGTCAAGGCACAGTTTCACTTCGCCTGGTAAGACAGACGGGGGGAAAATGAGGAATATGGAGCTGCTGCCCCTTCTCCCACTGCAGCCTGTCGTGTCTGCGGTACACGTGCTCCTGCCAGGGATCTCCGGTCCGACTTGGCATAGCCTTTCCTTTTCTCACTGCAAGAGAAACCCCCCACCCTGCCCCTGTGCCACCTGCAGAGCAGGCATCCGGTGTTCAGAGAAACCCCTGCGGCCTTGAGACTGCTCCGACACTGGGCACCTCAGCCGAGGCGTGAGGCGGCCCCGATCCGAGCAGCTGGACCAGCCGTTTCTCCAGCCTCCAAGCGCTGCGCGCGGTGACGTGGAAGGGCTTGTGCACCCATTTGCAGTGAGTGCGCGTGCTCTACGTCCAGCAGTGCTTCTGGCATCTCCTGGAAACTAATTTCTTGTTCCCTCAAGGCAAAACTAGCAAAAAATGCTGATGGCTCTCATCTTCCCATGTTCCGCAGCATCTAGCTGCTTGAAGTCTGTGCTGTGCCCCAATCTGTGAGCTCTCTTCATTTGTTTGGGTGGCAGGGGTGAGTCTTAGATGGCATCCACTGTCTCACAGTTAGAGCTGGTGGCTGGCAATGGCTGTTGATGTATCAGCTGGAGGAGGGTTGCTGTGGCAGGTTGTGGGGGCTGCTCTGAGAAGCAAAGGCATTGCCCGGCTTTAGCAGACATAGGGAAGGGTAAAACCAGTCCATCTGTAAGATCTCAGATGTCTCAAACACCAGAATAACCACTGGCCGCGAGCTACCCCCTTGGACAAGGGCAGCATCAGGCAGTGGTCTCTGGGGAAGGTACAGGGGTTACTTAGGAGTCCCCAGGAGATCCAGCCCTGCTTTGTCGTACCGGTGAAGACTGGCCCTTCAAACACTTGGGAAAAGCTTAGTGCTTGGTTTCCAGGTGTCTGGGTTGGAGGGAAGTGATTAATCTGAGCCTGCAGCGACAGCCTGTTGTTCCATGGAACAAACTGCTGTCACAGGCTGCTGAATTTCCCTTCTCGCCGCCGTGCAAGGCAGCGGGCTGCCGAGCCCTGGTGCATGGGCTAGTTCTAGCAGCCAAATGTACAGTTAATTTTCTGACCAAAACGGCAGGTAGAAGTGGTCAAGGCTGTGTTTCCTCTTGTACTGGGAAGAGATCTTCCCAGGATGGCCTGAGTTGCTGGCCGCTTTTGCAAGTGCAGAAGCCTTAACAGGCAATTGGGGTGGCTTGCGTTTCCAAACTTGGTAGGAATGCTTGATGCTGTTTCTCCATCCTAATGCCTCCCTGTTCTTTGCATGAACAAGCATTTGTACATGCAAATTGTGGTGTTGTTACTGTAAATTACAAGGGTTTTTTTTGTTTAAGTCCCCTTTTTCTGCTTGTGCAGTCTCACAGCCAGAGTTCGATCCTTGCTGCCCTTGCTTGCTTTCTCATACGTAGGCATTTCCCAAGCAGTTTTGTGGTGTTGCTAAGGGGCTGCTTGGCTTGGTCAAGTACACACGAGCTACAAAGCCCTCTGGCTCCTAACGTGGCCTTTCGGCAAATATCACTCTTCTGTAGCTCAACGCACGCAGGCCCTGAAGGGTGTCGTGTCCCAGCGGGTGCTCGTCTAGAGCAAGCCAGAGTCAAGGGGAGTTTTGCAGCTCTCCTGCGGCTGCTGATACATCTGCAGCAAGGAAGGACAGGGGACAGGATTGTCAAAACTGGATGAGAACTTTTGGGAGAGCTGAAATGCAGACGCTTACGAGCTCCCCTGGGAAGGTCACTGGTGAGCTGACTCTCAAAGCAATTTACGGTGAGCACCCAAAAACCAGGGCCCTGAAACCATCGGAACTCCCGTGATTCCTGCTCACATGCTGTCATGCCAGAGCTGCAGCCCGGAGCCCTCGAGCATGCCGGGGAGGGCTTTGCCGGTACCAGCAGGAGGGACTGCCGCCCCTTTGACACGGTGCTATTTCGGTTCAGCGACCCCCGACCAGCGGGCTGGTTTATCCGGCGCCGTGAGCGGCTGAGTCACCGCTGCCGCTTGCTGTTAGCAGCTCCGGTGGGTCGCTGTGAGGTGCACACGAGGCGTGAGAAGCCCTCTCACCTCGCGGCTCAGGTGTGCCCATGGTCCCTTCCCTCTGCTCTTCACCTGTGCACATCTTTCTTTCATAAAGGCGCATGATCCTGGGGGTTCTTCTGTGTCAGCCCGAGTCTCTGGACCCCAGCGGTGATGGCCAGGGGAAGGGCTGTGAAGGTATGGCTCCAGGGTGGTGGGAAAGGGAGGCTTGCCCTTCAGAGTGTCAAACCATAGAGACACTTATTAGGGGCATTGCCTTTTGTTTTAAATCAAAAGCACCCCTTGGTGTCAAGAAAAGTGGTTAGGTAGACAAAAAATTATGAAAGAAAAAAATACAGCAAGAATGGTGCTTTCGAAGTCAGTGGTAACAAACATGTGTGTTATTTGGAAGCTGATGTCAGTGAAATAAAATTCTAGGCTTTGGCAGGAAAAAGATGCTTGAACTACTCTCATGGATTGCTGCAGCTTTATGCTGGAAATGACAGCGATGAGGGACTCATACCCCTAAGGGTCCATTCTAGGACTCCTTCTCATTTCTCTTCCATCAGTGCATGTAGCTACTTTGCTCTGATTGCTTGTGCTTCTTCAGTGGCTGGAGCATTGCTCTTCACAGCTACAGATGGGAGCATCTTCACCAAAGTGAGAAACATCAATTGATTCATCTGTCTTTTCTGATATAATTTCTTAAAGGGGGTTTAACATTGTTACCCCTCTTATCTGTGTGCCATTTGTACTGAGAATGAGTCCGCCGTGTCTCACTTATTTGTGAGGGCGATGCTTTGTGCTGTACAAATGCATCATTTCACTTCAGAAGCCTACGTGCCCAAGCCTCGTGTGGGCACTGCCTCAGCACACACTTTCCATTCTGCAGAAGCCTGTGCTGGGGCTCTCAGGTGGCTTCTGTCTCTCTTCTTGCTCTGAGTACCTGGAGAGAAGCCACTCAGGAAAGAATTAATGGTGCAGACCTTGCTTTGTGGTGGTGAACCTGACCCCTAGAGACTTTCACACGTACTCTCCAGCACTGTGCTGTATGTAGCACATCTGCTGTAATTTGTTCCATTCTTTTATCACAGAAGCTGAAAAGGCAGTCAACAAAGTACAGAGCGGATAAAATCTACCCTACAGCAGCATCTGAGCAACCAGAGAACATCAAGAAGAACAGATACAAGGACATCTTACCCTGTAGGTTGGAAATGGAAAATGTTCCTATTCAGCCTTTTCTGTTTTTCCTAGCTCGAGTCTGTTCCCATCCTCCAGTATCTGCCTGCGCAGTTACTTGCGTGTGAGCACACTGCCTTGAGTTCTGCTGTTCGGATTTGAGGCTCTAACTTTGACTGTGGCAGTGCATGCTCTGGAAGGCTTTGGCATGTATTCTCTACAGACAGAAGAACTTCTGTTCAGTAGCAAACACATCCTCTAATGATTACTCTTGCAAGCTTTTTGGGTAGCATTGCAACCACTTGTTTTCCAAGGCCTCACAGAGAAGGGCTTTGGACAAAAATGTCTCTATGAAGCACAAAGCTGGCTACAGGCAAAAAACTGCTGTGGTTTGTCCTGGCTTGATGCAGCCATCTCCAAAGGAGAGTCTGTCCTAGGATTGGAGCAGACTGTCCCTTTCGTCCATTCTAGCTTGAAAAAAGAATAATCTAAGCCCACAGATCTCATTTGAGCCTGCAAGACAGAGTGCAGGGTGATTTCAGGCTTGGCTTGCTCCGTGGTCGGAGGAGGAGGTTGGCGTTGCACAGTGGTAGGGGCAGCATCTGCAGCTCTGGCCTAAG